GGCGAGTTTCTCAGAAACGGCAGCCGAGACGGGTAAGACCGGAGGGAATCGCCCACCCCCCGACTATTAATGTGGGAGCTGCTGTAACAAAGTACCCGATCTTGGTCGTCAGTGTCCACCAAATGGCTGGTGGTGGTTGCGGGTAAAGTCTTTAAGTTGCTATTATTGCTAGGAGCTGCATTCAGTGGAAAACGTCGCCCCAGTTGTTTTATAAAAAGATAAATATGCAGAAATAAATCAATACATTATGGGCCCAAATCAGAAATGCCAGCTGCTGAAAAAAATGGGATTTCATCAACTATTTTAGCAGGATTAGGAGTCCTTGGCACAGCTTTCAAAGGTCATGTCAGAATCCCCCGCCCTCTCAGTCTTCAATTTCTGGTACACAAGCATTCACATTCTAGCACTTTTCTCTCATTGCTTTTGCGTTATTATATCAAACTCTTAGAAAAGGATTTTACTTCAATACTTGAAGAAAAGTAGCCACACAGCTTTACTGCTCACCCCCCCTCCCCTTTTGCAAGGAACTTGCTCTGTGCTGCCCAGACATTTTCTATTTTAAAAAAATAACAAGGGAACGCAACGGCAGGAGGGAAAACAGTCCGAACCTGAATGACTGGAGAAAAACAGTCTGTGGCAATCAGTCTTAATTTGCTGCTGGGGACAATGTGAAGTCAAAACTCTGCTTTTCCTACAATAATTTCTGCCTGCAGACAGACAGAGAAGATGCTCCATTAGCCACCTGCATGTGCAATCTCAGGAAGCTGAAATCCCAACCTTCTGCTCCAAAGGTGCTGCTGATTCTCATCAGCACAACCCATTCTCAGCTGAGCTGGTTTCATAGCCTCCATCTCAGAGGACCTGGCCAAGCACCCAGGTGCTTCCTCCACAATGGAGCAAGCAGCGGTGTTCATTAAAAAAAACCTGTCCTCCCAATCAAAATTAGGCCTGGCTCAAATTATGGCTCTTTTTACTCAAGAAGGGGCCATCCCTGCTATGTGAGTGGGATGGTGAGGAAGCCCTGACCAGGTCCAGCAGCGCTTTGGAGACCTAACAAAAGGCCCAGGCCCAGAGAGCTGGGCTGAACACAAACACTGTTCAGGGTTCAGCCATTTTCTTCTTGGTGCTGCAGAATAAAGCACAATATTGCTCCAAATGCAATCAGACAGAAAGCCCAGCACAGCTCCTCATTTGCAGGATTTAGGATTTAACTGGGATATGTGTTCACGCAAAGGCAGGTAGCGTGGAAATTGTGCCATTTGAATGGGACAGATTAAAGCATTAAAAATAAGCTCTTTAGTAGTGTTACTAGCACAATCCTGGCTTATTAAAACAAATTAAGCTTCTTAAAAGTGAAATTGCCCTTAAAAGAATAATAGTGTTTCAGTTCCAGATGTGACAGAACTCGCTTTGTTAATTTATTTTCCTATTCAAGTCACTCCCAGTTCTTGGGTCTCATGTAAGAAATGCCATCACATTTGGATTTCTTTTGGAAGCTAAATCTTTACTGTCAAACCGCTTTATGTAAGTCTGAGACATTAGAAATAACCTTCTCTCTGTATTACTTAAAAAAACCCAAAAAAACAACAAAAAATGCTTGCCAAATCTGCCCCTGGCTCCAAAACACCCATGCTCAAACTGAGGGGGACCCAGGTAGTGCTATTCCTTGATGCTGCTGCCCAGGGATAGGAAAGGGGACAGGTTTCCAGTCAGGAACGCTGCAGTGCTGAACTCTTCAGGCAGCAGGTAGGGAGGCAGAGCTAGCATATTAAGTCCAGCCAGCTGGGCTACTGATGGAGCCTGGGCACTGGCCCATAGCCACCTGCTCCTAGCTTTACTGAGCTGTTTCTGCTTAAAAAGCAGAACAATATCCTCAGATAATCCTCCCAAACTTGAAGGTCCCTACTGTGAAGAAATACAGACATAAACTGGAAATGACTGGATTGCATCACTCGAGTATGAAAGTTACACTCCCACTGCCCAAAGTCATATTTGTAGGATGTGATTTAAGATCTGATTCCCTCCAATCATCATCAAGCCACAGTTAGGCAAGCGGCTGGAAGCTCGTCATCCAAAACTACCAGAGATATATTTGCAAAGGCACCAAAAGGTAATGGAAGTAATTTGATTACTGCATTAAGAATCTCTACTAGATATTGCAAAGTATTAAGCTGAGTGCATTTAACTCCAGAAAGGCAAACAAGTTCCTATAAGTCATGACCTGGAACAGCCTCTTGCTTTCCAAGCAAGGCTCCTTAGGCAATAAAAGAAGTTCAACACTGTTAAGATATGAAGCATAAGCCTTCTTCAGATATTTTTTCTGTTTTGAAAAACAGCCCTTGCCAAGAGGCTAAGAGAAGATTTATCAACCCCATCTCCAAGGTGCTGCAGTCACTGGACTCAGCACCCACCTACTTGTACTGTTGGCCTCGTGGCCAGGGTTTCTCACCTACTGGAGAAAGACAAGTTTCATAGCAAGGCGACAGGCACCGCCCCTGCAGCCCTTCTCACCTGCTGGGAAGATGGGACATGCTACAGAGAACAGCTGAGTTTGAGTTGATGCTGCTATGAAATCAGGGGGAAGTACAGGCAAGTCAGGTGCTGGCTTTGGTAGCAGGCAGGGATATGGCTCGGATGGTAGAGGGGCAAGCCCAGAAACCGCTGATAAGCCATCAGTCAGTGCTACTGTAACTCACTCCCACACCCTCACTTCTCAAGGGCCAGCCCTCTCCTCCTCCACAGCCTCCTCTGACTGTGCAGCTCTGCCAGCAGCTGGGCAGAGCCACAACAGCAAGAGAGGCCCTGCAAGAGTGCAGCTCTGGATCCATCTTGGGCAAGCTGCCCAACAAGCCAGCTGAGCCCTATATGGCACTTTGCAGGAGCTACAGGCTGTGCAGAGGCTGAGAAATTCACTTTTGGCCAGGCAAAGAGGCTTTAGGGATCCTATTTTGGAAGAGGGAAGGCTTGAGCCTGAGATATTAACAGGCTTGGCTACTGCTTGACAGAGTCCAGATCATCCCTCAGGACCTTCTGATTCTCGATGCTGCTCAGTGTCTCCATTTCAGCCTCCCTGCTGAGTTCAGGTGCCCAAAGAGATGGATGCAAGCCGATGAAATCCACATCCCAAGGGAATTAGCTGGGAGAAGGCTTAGTGCAGATGAAAGTAAAAAAAACTGACAATGTGAGAGCCCAGTCCGTGTTGCTCCGGCTGCTGGGCCAGCCACAGCCGTGGTGGCTCACACGTGTCCTGAGGTGAGACAGGCAGGAGGCTGGAGGCACTCACTGGGACCACTATCCCATGCGAGGCATTTCCTAAGAGTCCAGCCTTATCTGCGATGGAAGAGCAAAGGCAGAAGAACTTCAGCACAAGACCACAGACCATAATAAACGCTGAGCTGTGCAAACTTCCACACTGAGAAACAAAACCAAAAAATATGTAGTGAAGGAGAGGCGGGCAATGAAGCACCCAGATCATCCACCATGCCAGCATGGCAAGAGGCCAAGCCCGCTGGGTGAGGTTCTTTGCAGACGTGTTGATTAGGGCCCCCTCCACACCTCGCATCACCAGCAGAGCAGAGTTCAAAGGCAGCTCCCCTTGTACTCCCCACTCTACAGCTGTAAAAAGCCTCATGGAAAGGAAAGGCAAGGTCTGGGGAAGACCTGGGTCCCTCCCACACGCCCCATGAAGCACACACACAGCACACACTCAGCCCCTGGCCAGGGCAGGGGGCAAGCAGTGTCCTCTGCTTTGCCCTTCCCACCTGGGAGACAGGCTGCCGGGCACCTGCTGGCCGGTGGCTTGTGTCCCCGGTCACGGGTGTCCCATCTTTTGCCTCTCCTGCCACTCCTGTCTCAGCACTGCAATCTCCTGCCCGTACCAGCTGTGCAGCTTAGAGAAGCAGGCTGTCTCCAGTGACACCGGGCTCTCCAGCCCGGCTGGTGAGAGCCCGGGTGCTGAGGAACCCGCGGCGCTGCCAGCAGCTGAGCGCCGGCGTGGAGGCAGAGGTGGGGGCTTGGCGTGCCCTCCGTCAGGATCAGGGCAGGTGGCCACCCCGGGGATGCCACCCCCACTACCCCACGTGGAGTAACCATTCTCCAGGGGGGTGGGCTTCTCCTGGAGAGGCACCAAGGCAGGGTTGGAGAGATGCCTCTTCCTACCGGAGGAGGAAG